GCTTTCTCAGCAAATCTCCCTGAGAGCGGAACCGACCTCAGCTCCAACTCAGCCTCCACTGTTATTAAAAATAAAAATCGCTAGAGCAGCCCTCATCACGTCTACTTTGTATGTATCACAGAGGGGCCCACGCGTGTTTTGAACTCGAGCTACTTTCGTCATTTTCTATTCTTTAAAATATTTTTTCGTTGTTTGGCTTTTTATGGAGGGGTGAAGACTGCAAGCTTTCTAATTCAATGCTCTTGATTTCTTTTAGGATAGCGGGCTATTTGGAATTTTGAAGGATAATTTTTTTTCTAACTTCCCGTGCGGCTGTAAGGTAAGTGTCCGTCTGTCTTGTCGGCCTGTCTATACCCATGTGCCCCTCTGACCACCATCGCCCCGGTACCTCCAAAAGACCGACTGATACACACTTCCGCGAACTTGGAGTTCTGAAGCATGCTGTATTTTAATCCCTCGTAAATTTTTTAGGTGTAGTAACGATCACTGCGAAAAATGTATCATCTGGAGGTGAGGGCGGGAGTGGGAGGAGGGGAGGCAGCGCGCTCCTGGGGTCGCCGCTTCCGCCGAACGTCGTGGAAACCCTGAGAGGCTAATGTGGGGTGTTTGGGCCGGGTTTTGTTTGTGGTTTTGTTTTATGTCAACGCCCATTTCTCCCTGTTATTTTGCGTTTGGGCCCTCAGATGTGGTTGGGTCATTTGCACTGATCTCAAGGACATTTTCAGAGTCACAGACAAAAAGATGCAGATGTAGCTAGATGTGTGGATGATAATAATGATGATGATAAGACAGGCGTCTTCTAGGGCCGGCGTGCCCCGAGCCCCACTCGCTCTCGGATCTGCGAGTGAGGACAGTCGCAGCTCGAGCCCCCTGCTTGTCCCTAGTGAACGTGAGAGGAAACCCGAGCGGATAACCGAGGAGGCATGGAGCTGCCGGGAGCTCCTCCGCCCGGCGCTCGCCTCTCTATTTCCGGTCCCCTTTCCCCAGAGCCAAGAGCAGCTCACCAAGATTCGTTCTCGGCCTCTTGCAATGACCACTAGGTCTCCTTTTCCTTTTTGATCATCACTTTCCTCCAAAATAACCTGGGAGTGCAGTAACTCCCCCATCCCCGGTTGTCTTGGTCCCAGACTCGGGTCGCCAGGCCGTGCGAAAACAGGAGAGTCGTTTTGCTATGTGATTTAGCCCGGGGTAGTTCCGAGCCCGCCCTGTGCAGCCCTCCGCAAGCACCTGGGGCTGGCAGAATTGTTGGTGAGTGGCCCCTGCTCCGCCCGAGGCCGCGGCGGGGACGGGGCGGGAATCCTTACACTGGGGAAGGCGGCCCCTCCGCGGTTCTGGACCGTGGGCAGCGCCAGGGCCTGCGTGCGCGCCCGCGCGCTCTCCTCCCGGACTCGGGGACAACCGGGTGTCGTGGGGCCGGACCCGGCCGGGCCGAGGTCGAGGGGTGCCTTGAGGCTCAGCCTCCGTTCTCGGTCCGCCCAGGGAATACCATCAGGTCTCCGCTTAGCAACCTGCCTCTGCGACGTGTCACGTCGCCAACTCCAAAGAAGTCTTCGTGTTGAGGCGTTCAAGTGGCTCTTGAAATCACAGTCCGATTTCAGAACACATTTTTTGAAATCCAAGTCCCCCGTCAGAACTTCACCGCGTTGGCTTTTTCCTCCGTTTCAGACAGAAGTGGGGTGTGGGACAGAAGGCCGAGCTGCGTTGACCCTGGAGTGGTGGATGACTTGGGGAGGGGACGGGGGAAGTCGCTCCTTGAAATCCTCCCCTCCATCCTCGAGCTTCGGGGTCAGGATTTGTCCCGCTCACTTGGGGACTTCTTCCAGGAACCAAAAGTTATTAGCACTGGAGACGAGTGGAGAGGAAACTCCTCCCCCCAAAGGAAGGTAGACACCCAGACCTCTCCTCAAAGCGCTAACACTGGGGCTTTTTCCTCCCCATAATTAATAGCCAAGGCCAACCCTTTTGGCACGTTTCTTCCTCCCTCCCTCGCGGGTGGCAGCGCTGTTCGATTCCCTGAGGCCAGGAACTTTCACTGGAGTTCGCCTGAGAGGGAGGCCCGCGCCGGCTGTTTCCGCGGTGCCCACATCTCTCCTCATTCTTTTCCTCCTCTCGCTCTTCGCTGTCTTCCGAGCCACAGGCCAGTCGCCAGTCCGCGTAGTTTTGTTTCTTTTCCATCATGCAGAAAATTAATCAGCCCGGACGAGAAGCAGAGCAGAGCACGGCGGCCTGTAATTAAGGGACGTGTGCCCCTCGGATTATCTCGTTAGTTTATCAAGAAAACATTTATTATAATTAATTCTTGGACGAGGTAATTATTATTGAGCGAGGACACAGCAACTGGTAGATGGGCTCCTTGTAAGAAAACACACACACACACACACACACACGGGGGGGAGATGCGGGGGAGGGGGTAAGAGCGACAGATTGCACGAATTGACCGTTAGATATAAGGCGGCGCGGGCCGGGGCGGGCTGTGGAGCCGGACCTGGGGCGCCAGGACTGCGGTGCTGCCGGGCAGGGACGCCGGACCGAGGCACTCGCGCCCGGAGGTGCGGGCGCCCACCAGCTGCGCACAGCGACCGTCACCCGCTCCCGTAGGTAGGAGTTCTCCAGCGGCCACCTCAGGAGCAATCAGAGTGAAGCTTATATTTTTGAAATATAATATTTCTGTTTGCCCTTCTGGGCTCGGCTTAGAGAGAAAGGGAGAAAGGTGTTCTTTGGGGGCTTTGGAAGTTAGATAGAAGGGCCGGTGGCCGCTTCTTCGGTGAATGCATACCTAGACCTGCTGCTGAGAGGACTTAGTAGTTTTGTTTGGGGGTACTTTTCTTTTTCTTTTAAAGATGCATACAGTAGTAAATGCAGAGACACTTTTCCCCTAAATTTTAGTGATTTTTGCGATGGCACGGGCAAAGGCGCTCCAAGGAGGCCCTTTGCCTGGTGTTTTCTATCCCTTACTGCTGTTTATATTGGAATGTGCCACTTTCTGAATCAGACTTTTCGAACTGGGTGAGAGCTCTACATGTAAGAACAATTCGGTATTTCTCATGTGTGCATGTGCTATGGTTTTAGTTTTTTTCTATAGTACTTCAGAACTTTTCCAACGTATTGTATCAAACACAAGAGAACTCCAGCTTAGAGGCTATTTAGACAAATTAAGTGACTGTATTTTAAAGCAATATTATTTCTACAGCATCTGAATAACTATATCTTGAAAAGAGAGCAGAAAATAGCAAGTCTTTGTTATAGCAGCAACTAAATTTTATTGATGAGACAGTCCAAATTCCTCTAAGAAGGGTATTTATAAAATTACACTGATTTAGATCTGGGGTGGAAAAGCATGATTTTTGTGCTAGGACTTTAAATCAGGAAGAAGTGGTAATAACTGAGTTCCATTTGTGGAATTTTGTGTCTTGATTTCTAAAGCAATGTAAATATGAAAATCCAATCCTGAAAACTCAGTAGGACCTTTGTCAAAGTAAGAGGGAACTTCTAATCTTGTATCCGCCATTTTGAAGCAATCTCTCATAGTGTCAAAGTTGCAAAGTGGAGATCCTTGCAGGATAAGAGCCATTTTTTTAGGCAAATAAAAGCCAGACTTGAAAACTGCCAGCCCATATTAACATCCATTTTGGATCCCTTTGCTTGGAGCAGTGAGAGACACTCAGCTGAAGAAAGTAAATAACTTTTCTTTTTCTTCCTTTCTTTTGCCTCTCTGAGCTTTTTCTTATAGAATTGTAGGAAACTTGAAAGGTAGGGAGAAATTCTATTAGTTTCACAACTTTGGGTGTTTGTGTATCTACTTTCTTCAAAACTAAAATGTGCAAAAAGCAGCCGGAATTAACAAGAAACTCTGCTCTAGTTGCTGAGGACCCAAATGCCTGAAAATTTGCCTCCTGCAGGATCTGCAGCCTCCACGACATCAAAATCAACATGGAAGCGGCTTGCACTACAAATGCACACCCTTTCTACTTGCAAATGTGGGGGCCTGTCATTATCTGATTGGTGGGATTCTAACTTCAGAATTTCTAGCAAACCTTGTGCCGATCTTTAAGACTTTTTTTTGCAGTATGTTTAAATATTTGATGGGTGTCGATTAAAAGTTAAATACTTGTTTGTTTAGCTTTAGTTCTTTAGACACATAATCAAGGTCCTCCAAAACCTTAATAAATCTGTTACTTACCTCAAAATCTAATTACCCAGACTACTAATTAGGTGAAAATGATTACTGGAAATGACTTCAAATGTGAAGTAATAGCGATTGAGCAGTTTTCTCAAGTTTGTCGATTAGCAAGTTGGTATTTTAGATGTTAAATGCACTGACATTTTAGGTTCACAGCAGTTAAAAGTGGTAAAAAGCTAAGGTAATTAAAATTTGCCTTGGAAAGGCAACAGTCTGGGGAGAGGTAGATTTCTTGAATTGTTTCTTTGTTTCTCACCAATGGGCTTTGTTATCAGCATTATTTATTTAGCCAAAGAGTTCTTTGTCTCTGCAAATGGCCCCAATCAAGTTTTGTTTGAGACAATTAGCTAGTGCCAGCCAATGAGTCCTATGCAAATGTAGGGATAGGAATGCAATGTGTGCATTTGAAGGCGTGGGGTTTTGTTCTTCAGGGAAGGCAGATTGTAATTGCTTTCTTCTGGTACTTTTTTTTTCTTTAAGTTTAGGGTGGGGGTGGGGAAGACAGGTTTATCTGGTCTCTCTCCATCCCCTCTAGTTCCAGAGCAGCTGGGGGTGGGGGTGGGGGTGGGTTGCAAGTCCTTTAAAAGCCTCTACCTTGCATAGCCCAGGGTTTTTTTTAAGTTAGTGGTGGAACGTGGAAGAGCTGCTGCCTGCGAAGCAGTAAACCAGCACCTCTGTTTGTTTGTTTGCTTTGTCCATAGTTCAACTGCTCCCAACCCACACACCAAGGATCCTGAATCTGTCCACTCTTGGCGAAGCGAGACCTTCTGGCTGGGTCCCTCCGATTTGGGCTGATTTTGCGCCTCCAAACAACCTTAGCATGATGTCTTATCTTAAGCAACCGCCTTACGCTGTCAATGGGCTGAGTCTGACCACTTCGGGCATGGACTTGCTGCATCCTTCGGTGGGCTACCCAGGTAAGTGAGCCTTGTGGCACTCTTGCTCTGCCTTTCCCCACGCCAGCCCCACGGGGATGTGACATCTTTTCTCTCGGAGCACTGGGGCTGATGGTCATGCTGCCCCACTCCAGCTCCAAGCGTGGTGTCCCCACTGGGTTTTCCTTCTAAGAAGCAGCTCAGAGCCACAGGGCATTTACCGGCCGGAGGGAAGACTAGGGGCTGGAGGGAATAGGTGGATCCCTCAACACTTGCAGAAACTCACAATGCGTTACTCTTAATTGGACTGCATGGGGGACACACTGTAGTGAGGGGAAGGGGGGATGGAAGGTCACTCCCTCCACCCATATCTCAAAGCCTTGTTCTTCAGAAGTGCCCTCTGGAGAAGCTGGGTCTCTCTTCGTAAATTCTCCCCACCACGCCTGGGCTTCCCCTTTGACCCCCAGGCCTTTTGCCTGTAGTCCCTAGAGGTGTGATTTACCCTGGATATGTGTGCTTTCCTTTCCAATCAGATCTGGGGGGTTTTGTTTTGTTTTGTTTTGTTTTTGTTTGTTTGTTTTGTTTTTTTTAATCCTCGTAGAAGTTTTTAAATATGCCCCCATTTTAAAGATGGAGGAACAAAGGCCCTTGGAGTCTTAAAAAGCCCCATTAATCCGAACTGCGGTCCTCGGGGATCCTCTGACTTCAAGGAATGGATTTTTGTTTGTGTGTTGTGGTTTAGGGGCTCATTTTGAGGGGGTTTGGATTTTGGCTTTCTTTTATTTCATGTGTTATCTATGGAAAATCCACTCTGGCTGGAGCAATCTCCAACGTCAGGTGGTGGGGGGGTCTCTCCTGGAAGGGGGGGCATGTTGTGTGTCTTGCTATCCAGTGTTTGCTGGAGGAGCCGAGGCCAGGGAGGGGGTTGGGGAAAGCACTGATAGGCTCCGGGTTGCATGGCTGGGAGGATGAGGGAAGTGCTGGGACTGGGGGACTGGGGGTTGGGGGAGTCGGAGCACCCGCAGAGACCCCTATGACTGAGAAACTGCTCCCCCACCCTAAAGGGCCCTGGGCTTCTTGTCCCGCAGCCACTCCCCGGAAACAGCGCCGGGAGAGGACGACGTTCACCCGGGCGCAGCTAGACGTGCTGGAAGCTCTATTTGCTAAGACCCGGTACCCAGACATCTTCATGCGGGAGGAGGTGGCGCTGAAAATCAACTTGCCCGAGTCCAGGGTGCAGGTAGGGCAGACGTAGATAGAACCATTCTTCCTGACTGTGCCACCCCTCCCCTAAGCACGGTGTATGTTGAGGACCCAGGAGAGTCCCAGGTCTTAAAGAGGACCAAAGGAAGGCTTGAAACTGAGCGCTCCACTGGTGGCCAGTAAACTCTTCTAAGGCCCCTTCACATACCTGATTACACCCCCCCACCCAATCTTAGAAGCGACAGCCTTCTGGCTGTAAGGTAAGACAATGATTTAGCTGCAGTAATAAAGCACAATTCTAGAGCTCTTGGGTACTCAGCCCGGGGAAGATTTCAAGAACAGTTACTTAATATTTTAATACTTCCTTTTCCCCATGTGGAAATCCTACCCCATTTTCATCTACTTTTAGGGGTGAAAGAAGCTTAGATACTGGATAGTTCCAGTAATTTTACAGGTGAAAGAAATGGAATAAATGACTTGCTCAAGGTCACACGCCAGTTGGGTACGGTAAGGCCAGGCTGTGGAAGCCTCTGGTGCTCTTACCAAAGAAATTACAAAATAAAAGTGTCTTCTTTAACTTCTTAGTAATTGAACAGAATTTGTTAGCTCTGACCCATTTAGCAGATAAAATATCAATGCAATATCCTCATTGACACTCCCCCACCCCCTTTAACTTGACCTGAGGCTGGAGAGGGAAAGTAATCTCCAACTTTTCTGAAATGTAAGCACCATATGGAGTTCTCTGTAAAGAAATGTTCAGCCCCTGAACATACACACACATCCACACATCCCAGAGACTCCACTTCAGCTAGGACGTATCAGTGTGAACTGCAAACCCGGAAAAAAGACTTTTCAAAGTAAGATGGAAGAAGTTTTAGCATTTGTGAAGCTTGAACTCAGGTCTTCACTGAAAGAAAGTAAAAGGCTCTGAATGGGTGATGGCTCAGCCTTGGTGGCCCAGTTAACACACCCATATGTTGACCTCACTCAAGAAGACTGCTAAGGATTTGTTGCTCAGAAAATACCTGTGGTTCCTCTCAGGAAAGGGTGGTAGTTTCTTCGGGGTTGGTAATGAGAATCTTCAGAGTTGCAGTCAGAGGCTTAAATTGACAAAGCCAGTGAACATAGTACAGGAAACTGAATCCCGTGTGCTGAAGGCAGAGACTCCAGTGTCAGACTTGAGATGAGCAGAGAAGTCTGTCCTCAGGCTCCCAGCAGACTATATACAAGTCATTCCACTTACCATAAAGAGTGCAGCAAATAGTGGCTTTCATACCTCCTCCTTCAACAGGATCACTTCTTGGAGCTTTCTTTTATGAGTCTTTCAAGGAGAGAGAAAAAGGTAGAGTGTGATTAGCAGTTATTCCCTGGAAGATAGACTATAAACTTTGCGTTTAGGCTGTTCCTGTGGGCTAGTGACAACAGAATTGTTTTCCCTCACCTCTTTTGTGTTTCCTTCCCAAAGACATAGATACATTGTATTCCCCCATAAGAGTGTTCCACAGTACCACTGGATTTATGTGTATGTGTGTATTTGAAGTGAAATACGAGATAGGAAAATGAGAAGAAAAATTCTTAGCCATAGGATTTATTATTCTGGGCTAGGAATGAAGTGCTTTTAGACAGAGCTTCCCCATTTTCTTATAATTCCAGGGGTATATATAAAAGTATCATGGGTTTTCAGTGGCAGGACAGATGGTGCGCTTAGCTCATCTGTAATCTGGGAGCCTCTCTCGTCCTTATTGAAACCACCTTAAAGAAATTTCTTTCCCTTTCAAGGTGTGGTTTAAGAATCGGAGAGCTAAGTGCCGCCAACAGCAGCAGCAGCAACAGAACGGAGGTCAGAACAAAGTGAGACCTGCAAAAAAGAAGACCTCACCAGCTCGTGAAGTGAGTTCAGAGAGTGGAACAAGTGGCCAGTTCACTCCCCCCTCTAGCACCTCAGTCCCGGCCATTTCCAGCAGCAGTGCTCCCGTGTCTATCTGGAGCCCAGCTTCCATCTCCCCACTGTCAGATCCCTTGTCCACCTCCTCTTCCTGCATGCAGAGGTCTTATCCCATGACCTATACTCAGGCTTCAGGTTATAGTCAAGGATATGCTGGCTCAACTTCCTACTTTGGGGGCATGGACTGTGGATCTTACTTGACCCCAATGCATCACCAGCTTCCTGGACCAGGGGCCACACTCAGCCCCATGGGTACCAATGCAGTCACCAGCCATCTCAATCAGTCCCCAGCTTCTCTTTCCACCCAGGGATATGGAGCTTCCAGCTTGGGTTTTAACTCAACCACTGATTGCTTGGATTATAAGGACCAAACGGCCTCCTGGAAGCTCAACTTCAATGCCGACTGCTTGGACTATAAAGACCAGACGTCCTCATGGAAATTCCAGGTTTTGTGAAGATCTGTAGAACCTCTTTGTGGGTGATTTTTAAATAACACTGGGCTGGACATTCCAGTTTTAGCCAGGCATTGGTTAAAAGAGTTAGATGGGATGATGCTCAGACTCCTCTTCTGATCAATGTTCCGGGAGGCATAGAAGGAGAAATGAAGGGCCTTAGAGGGGCCTACCAACCAGCAACCGGAAATGGACAGACCAGTCTACTTAAGATCCTGTCATAGTTTTAGATCATTGGTTTTCCTGATTTGCAAAGTGATCAAAAGCATTCTAGCCATGTGCAACCAAACACCACCAAAAAGAAACAAAACTAAATTGTGAGGGAAAGGAAGGCAGGACATAGCCTTCTTAAGCAGAGGTGTTCCAATGTTTTAGCCAATCCGTGGTTGAATCTTAGGAATGGACAGTGTCTCAAGCTCACTCACGTTTCATGACCAACTGGTAGTTGGCACTGAAAAACTTTTCAGGGCTGTGTGAATTGTGCGACTGATTGTCCTAGATGCACTACTTTATTTAAAAATAATGTTCATAAGGAGTCAATATGTAGTTTAAGAGACAATCAGTGTGTGTCTTATATAAATGGTACATCTGTGGTTTTTAATCTGTGCTAGACTTCAAAACTGTGATCTCCTGTTATTGTATGCAACCTTGAACTCCACCTCTGCAGGGGTTCTTCTGTGATTAAATAGGTTATAATTATAAGCAAATTCAGAGCAACTGAGTACTTATCAAAAAGATTACCTTTGGCTGGAGGTGAGCTGCACTGAAACTTTACAACAAAAATGTCTCTGGACAAGGAGAGTGAGAGAAGAGAAACAAAAGGACACTAATTCATCTGTAATTTACTGTTGGTAAGCCTAGCCTAGCAGTAAAGAGACATTGGTCAATTGCTCTGACCCTGATGAATTTATAAACTGAGATCATTGTCGTTTATGCTTGCAGATGTTAACTGGAAAAGTTATATATGCATAAACCTTTTCTTCCTGGATTTGGCAGATATGTATAATTATATTAAAATGGTTCTAGCACAACACTGGGTCCAGTTTAATTTTATACCACTCTTTATGGATGAGAAGCCCACATTCAGCCTCTCCTTCCCCAAACGAATTTACCTCCGAGAGGAAATTAGCAAACTTTATTTAAAAAGCATTTTTGGTGTTATCTGTGGACGAACTAGGTATGAGTGACTGTGGTATCTAAACCTTCTTGAGATTTCCATCAGTACTGCTCTGAAATAGAACATAGAGAGCCTACTAGTCATTAGGATCTTGCTCTCCTTGCTTTTCCCTCCCGGCTGCATACCATAATGATTTCTTGGGCACTTTACTGATAGGTTTTAACATAGATCAATTTTTTTTTTTTTTTTAAGTGAGAAGGGAAGAACTGTAGTACTTCAGAGAAAATGAGAATGACAAGAATTCCTTGTTCTTACTCTCTCATTTGATGAAGGGGATTTCTTTTTTTTAAACTTTCAAAAACACGAGGGAATGTAATCAGAATCTGAAAGCAATTCAGGCAGAAATGATTTCTGAACAAAAGAGTTTCGGAAAAGTTTTAAAACCTATAATTTCAGTAGTTGAACATAAGGCATCCTGGTCAGTTTTGTTTTTGTTTTGTTTAAAGAAAGTGCTGAGGGGGTGGAGGGGAAGGTCTGTTTTCAGTTCAACCTGCATTTGGTATACCAATCATCAGAAAAGGCAAATGAGCCAATGGTCAAGGTGCTCCTCAGGTAAAAGCAAATATTTAATTTCATTTTAAACTCTATGCTCTTGAGTTTGACCAGAATTAAATGACTCTTGATTGTAACTTTTAAAATGAACTTTAGCAGTTGCAACCATTTTGTTTTCTGGCTTATTTTTCTGCCCCTGGCTGTGCTTGCTCTCTTGACCCTACATCATCTTGCTTAATAAGTAAATTGGTTTTGTTTTACTGCTGAAGGAAATGCAGTAGTTTACAACCAGCAACTGATGCAAAACTTGATGGCAAGATTTTCCAATACCAACTAAGAACAGTCCTCCTACAGTAGTCTACACCAAAGGGAAACTGAAGCCCCAGAGAGACTCTTTGTTTTACCATGTTCATCTTCTGGGGCTCATGCTCCCCCAGCTTTTCTCAAGCAACAGTAAAGCAGATACAAAGTAATTTCTCACACTGCTTTCAGTTTTCAGAATGCCCCACAAAGGATCAGTAAAGACACCCCCCCTTCGTTAAATATAATGACAAACATGGCACTGCTCAGCAAATAATGCAGTTTGGTTTCTCTCCCGATGCTATAAAAACGGAGGTCAGAAAAAGGCGTTGAGGACCCTCTGAAACTAATTTTTCCATCACCTTTGCACAACTTCGCTTAACAGACCACGGAGTTAAATCCCTTTGAATTGACGGAAAAGTAGAAATGAATTCTCCCTGACCGCAGGCAACAGAGGGAGGGGAAGGGGGGCGGGGAAGCTAGCGCTGGCTTAAAGACGTCCAGTTCACCACTCCTGGTCCAGACCCGGTTTAATAAAGTTAAGCCCGGTCTTTAGGTACTTGTACCGAAATGACATCACCCTCCGAAGGCGTCAGGGAGCGACTTCAGCTGCATTTGGCAATTAAGGAATGACCTGAACCGGCAACAGAATCTTCCCTTGGGGGGACGGAGGTCAGGTGGGGTAGGCTGACTCACAAAGATCTGTTGGCCCAAACCTTTATCTTAACGCACCAAGATTCTTGGTCCTGTTATTTCACCTTGGGAATGTTTCTAAGCTTCACGATAAGAGAAATTCAATCAAGTCAAGTTCAGCTATCGAAATGTACGAGTTTTAGATAATGGTCAGTTTCCTTAACAGCTCTCCCACTCGGTTCCCTTAATCGCACCTTTTCTCCGTGTGTCCCCACTCTGAGTGCGGCACCACCTGGACGCGAGAGGCGGAGGACCCCGGGAGGCCCCGGGCGGGACTGCGGGAACTGAGCGCCAAGGTGTGGGCAGTGGTGGCGCAGGAGAGCGGCTCGGGCTCTCTGCCGAATCCAGGGCGATCTTTCAGAGAGGTATTTTTCCAAATCTCGCCTGCCCATCGGAGTTAGCCGGGGAAAGTACTCGCATCCCTGACCTTGGGAGGCCGAGTTAGGACAGAGGCCCAAGTCAGTTCTCCAGGATGATGCCAGCCATCCTCCGACCCCACTCGTGGCCCTGCGGGCCTGGCTGGGGCGACAGGAGACTCTCCCTCCCTCCCGCTGGTCAGCCTCGGGCTCGGGTCTGAACCCAGGACCTCCGCGGAGCCGCGGCCCGCCCCACCCGGCCTGGTCTTCAGGCCTCGCGGGATCCCGCCGCGCGGGCAGGGCTGAGGCGCCGCTACGGGTCCTGCGCGCTGCCAGCGGGGAGAGCGCGGCCTCCTCGAGCCCCTTAGTCTGGCTTCAGGGTCAGCCGCGGGCGTGGGGGGGGGGGGCGCCCAGAGCCCGGTTGACATCGCGGCCGGCCGAGTCTGGGGGGGTAGGGGACAAGTGTGTGTGTGGTCTGGTGGTCTGGCCGGGAGGCGAGCTCCCTGGCTGGAGAGAACGAAAGCCGAGGCCCAAGGAAAGCAGGGTCCGGGAGAGGGGGCCAGGACGCCGAAACCGGGCCTGGAGGGGCCTACGGCCTCTGGCTTTCCTCGTCTCCCGGGAGGAAGCGCCGCAGACGGCTGGGTCTTCTCCCAGCAGCGAGGGGGAGGCCGCCGCCTCCGCCACAGCGGGGGCTCCCGCTGCAGGGCAGCCGTGGCGCCGACAGGGAGTCCAGCTGGGCCTGCCTAGGGCCCTCGGAGGTCTCCCAGGAAAGCCAGGTGCTTTAGCGGGTCTGGGTAAGTTGTGTTTGGGTGTTCCGCCCTCCCTTGGGGTCCCTGGCTCTGAGCTGAGGCTTTCAGAAGCGGCCCTCATACCTTTGACTCAAGCTTTTTCTTCTACCCCCTCTACATTTCGTTTTTTAACCGAGTGCCCCGTCTTTTCCTTTTTGGACAAGGGCGCAGCACTCCACCGCCCCAAAGCTGGAGGCCGGATTTGGAATGGGGAAGCGGTGCCTTCCGCGTCCTGGACAGCGCCAGGCAGCCCATTCCGGCTACCTGCAGGGCGGGGGCCGCAGTCTGTGCCCGCCCCCACTTAACCAGAAGTGGGGGATGATCGGGTAGCCAGACCCGGCATGCACAACACAAGTTCGAACCCGCTTCTAACACCCGGTGAAAACCTCGGTGTTGTTACCCCCACAAAGCTGTAACCCAAAACCAGGCGTGCCAGTGTTAGGTGGTGGTTTACTGCATACAGAGACATGTTTTAATCATGCAAAAGAGAAAAACAAAGGAGTCAGGCAAGAGTCGGGCGCATCTCACACAAACAGAAGCTGACTTCGTACAAAACAACCAATATGGAAAGACCGCAGGGTCGGGCTCTCAGCCACGACCTCAGCCGGCTTCCTGTCTTCCTTCAAAACCTTTAGAAAGGACAGCTCTTCCCTTTCCTACCACAAAAGCGTCCAGTCACCAGTCAACGCATCTGCATGCCCAGATCTGTGCCCAGTGCCTTCAACACACCTCTGTTTTTCTCAGCTAAACTGGCAGCGTCCTGTAAGCACAGCTCACCCTCATAAAACCTGGTTCCCCAGCTGCCCCATTTGAGCCCTTGGGTTAGGACAACAGGAAAGACAGGGAGACCCTGGGATGGAGAGAGCAAAACCCCAAACAAAACCCACCCTGATGTCTTTCAGTATTAGGCTCTGAAACTGCACAGATTATGGGATTTGTCTCGGACAGAATTAACATTACATGTGAAACCATAGTGCTCTGGTGTATTGAGACACATTGTATAGGATTGCTTGGAGCATCTCTTCCTAACTGCCTGTTAATAGCAATACGAGGCCTTGAAATCATACCTGTTTTTGTTTTTAACCTGATTAAGACAAAATTTAGGCACTATGTGGAAAGGGCAGTTTTTCTGTTGTAGGCAATTCGAAGGAAATAGAACCCAATAGGAGAGCTGGAGGAAGCTTCTGTATGCAGAAGTGGCCGAAGAGGAGAAGTAAGCAGGCAAGCCTTTGAAAGCCCTTCTACTATGCAGCAGCTCCCAAAAGCAATGCAGGCATCCCACCCCTCACCCCCACCCCCACCCCCATTCTAAAGGGAATCAGACTTCCTCTTTTGCAGGCAGTGCGTTTTATATTTAAAAATCAACCTGCCGCCGACTGCAAACAAACAATAAGCAAAATCAAATAAAGGAGCCCTACCAAATCCAACCCATTTGGTCAAAGATAACTGCAGGGGCCAGAGAGTCCAGGCTATTACAGGGGGGA